CTCCTTTGCCGCCCCTTGTGGCTCTGTCACCTGCTCGTCGCAGCGCACCCCCCCCCCTGGCCGCCGCCTCTGCCTCCCTTGCGCCCGTGCCTGCTTTGCAGCAGCGCGCGGGCCTGCCTTGCAACAGCAGTCGCCCCTGGAGCAGCCGCCGCTGCAGCAGCCGCCCCTGGAGCCGCTACTGCAGCAGCAGCCCCTGGAGCAGCCGCCCCAGCAGCAGCCCCTGGAGCAGCCGTTACTGCAGCAGCCGCCCCTGGAGCCGCCACTGCAGCAGCAGCCTCTGGAGCAGCCGCCCCAGCTGCAGCCGCCCCTGGAGCAGCCGCCACTGTAGCAGCCGCCCCTGGAGCCGTCACTGCAGCAGCAGCCCCTGGAGCAGCTGCCCCACCAGCAGCAGCCCCTGGAGCAGACGCCCCAGCAGCAGCCGCCCCTGGAGCAGCTGCCCCAGCAGCAGCCGCCCCTGGAGCAGCCGCCGCTGGAGCCGCCGCCCCTGGAGCAGCCGCCACTGCAGCAGCAGCCCCTGGAGCAGCCGCCCCAGCAGCCGCCGCCCCTGGAGCAGCCGCCGCTGCAGCAGCCGCCCCTGGAGCCGCCGCCCCTGAAGCAGCCGCCCCTGGAGCGGCCTGCCTTGCAACAGCAGCCGCCCCTGGAACAGCCACCCCAGCAGCAGCAGCCCCTGAAGCAGCCGCCGCTGCAGCAGCCGCCGCCCCTGAAGCCGCCACTGCAGCAGCCGCCCCAGCAGCAGCCGCCCCTGGAGCAGCCGCCGCTGCAGCAGCCGCCCCTGGAGCCGCTACCCCTGCAGCAACCGCTCCTGGCCACTGGAGCAGCCGCCACTGCAGCAGCCGCTCCTGGACCCGGTGCAGCTGTGGGGGGGTGGGTATGGGGGTGGCGGCGTGTGTGGGTGATGAATGTGGGAAGGGGTGCGGCAAGGGGTGTGAAAGGGGAGTGGGACAGGTGAGGGAGGTTGAGTGGAGGTGGCCGTCGTGAATTCAGCAGCTCCAGTCGCCCGTGAGACCGTTGCGCCAGTCGCCTGTGAGCCCGTCGCTCCAGTCGCCCGTGAGCCCGTTGCTCCAGTCGCAAGTGAGTCAGTTACTCCTGCCGCTCGTCTAGCCACGGAGTCAGTTACTCCAGTTGCCCGTGTGCCAGTTGCTCCAGTTGCCAGTGTGCCAGATGCTCCAGTTGCCCGTGTGCCAGTTGCTCCAGTTGTGCAGTGTTCCAGCAGCTTCAGCTGCCGCCCACCACCTCCTCTTCTCTCATAGTCCCTCCTCCTCCTCACTTGCCCTCTCCGTCTGCTGCGCTCTGCTTGGTGTTCCCCTTCTGGGGGTGTTTCTGCACATGGTTCTTCACTGCAGGCAGTTAGGGGGTGTGTCAGAATGTTATTGTATACATCACTTTATAACTTCCTGCAATGTAGACTTAGTGTAGTTATCTTGCTTGTTAGGTGGTGCACCTTGCTTCACTTCTTTCATATTTGTACCCTTGAACCTATAGTGAAACCCTCATTCTCCTTTACAATTCTCTCGACACTCTCCTCACCCTCGAACTTAACTACAAAGGTTCCTAAGTTATGGCTCCTAAGCCCACCTACTCTTAGCCTATCTCAACACAGTGGGCCCTAGGAACGGTTCCCACTAGGGAACCTGCTCTATACCATGTGAAATTGAGAACGAGAAGGGAAGGAACTATGAAATGGTTTGGTACAAGTACTAACCCCAATTGGGTTGTACCCCTTATAGGCTACCCCACTACAGCCTACACAAATGCATAAGCTATAATGTTTTGACACAAGCTGTGCCATGAGACCACTTTGGTTAACACTGTACCGTATGGCCCCGGATAAAAGCGCATATGCGCTTATAATAAGTTAATTTTTTTCAAGGGTGGCGCTTGTTATTGAGGAACAGCCATAAGCGCCGGCGCTTCTATAATGACAAATATATTTTTTATACTTAAAGGTACCAAATTGTACCTTTCTGAGAAAACTGAAACGAGAATGAATGAACTATGAAACAAGTGGGTACAAGTACTAACCCTAATTGGGTTGTACCCCCTATGGGATACCCCACTACAGCCTACACAATATGTATAAGCTACAATGTTCTAACACACCCCCATAGGCAAAGTGGGGGAGAACAAGGGGTCACAAGACCAGTCAAGCAAAGCAAAACAAAGCAAGCTCAGGGTGGATCACAAAGTCACCACACATTCCGAGCCCAAGCTCAAGGCCACAAGGCCAGTTCACATGCAGGAGTACATATATATATAAGGCTAGACAAGCAAGAGCAGGTATATATATATGTAATAGTACAAACAAGGTCAAGAGGTGAGCAAGTGAGGCAAGACAGGGACAAGACCTAGCTGAGTGCAGAAGCGCTGATGATCGCAAGGCGCAAGTGCCTTGGTGAAGACATCAACAGTGTTGGCCTCAAAGGCCACGTACGCAAGCCGCAACTGACCACGCTGCTGTAGCTCACGAGCAAGGAAGTAGCGGAGAGCAATGTGCTTTGTTCTGTGCTCCAGTCTCTACTCTCGACACAAGGCCAGCATGGCCTTGTTGTCTACGTACAGAACTGGAGGAGAACGAGGCGGCTCTCCAAGGTCAGTCAGCAGGTAGGTGAGCCAGCGAAGCTTCTGTGCAGCCATGGCCCCAGCGTAGATCTCAGCCTCACAACTGGAGCCGAGAACAGAAGACGAGCGAGTATCCCGCCACGAAACAGAGACGGAACCAAGGCTGAAGGTGTAACCCTGTGACGACCGCTGCGTAGCCTGGTCGCCAGCCCAAGAAGCGTCTGCGTGCCCAATGAGGACCACTGGACTCCGCCCTCCAAGCACTAGCCCCATGCCCGACGTACTACAGAAGTAGCGCAACACCCTCTTCGCTGCAGCCATGTGCTCTGGTCGGTGTCTCCCAGGAGCAACATAGCGTGCGAGAATGCTAAGAGGGTATGCAAGGTCAGGTCGAGTGCAGGTCATCAGGTACATGAGGCAGCCAACAAGCTTTGGATACGGGCCACTCGACTCTACGGACTCATCCGAAGGCAGAGCTGAGAGCGAGTGGCGAGTAGGCAGAGGAGGCCTGAGGCGAGGAGTACGTGAAGCCGAAGCGCTGAAGGACCTGCTGCACCATGTGTGACTGAGTCAGGGTAATGGTGCGGTGTGCTCTGTCCCGGGTGATCTGCAAGCCAAGGTAGCTGCGCAGTTCACCCAGGTCTGTGCACGTGTGTCTCTTCTGCAGCTCGGACTTCACGTGGGCGAGTCCAGCAGTGTCCGCTGTGGCAAAGACCAAGTCGTCGACGTACACGAGGATGTAGAACGGAGGCAAAGAGGTGTCGGTGCGCAGAAACATCGACGGGTCGGCCGTAGAAGGAGCAAACCCAAGAGCCGCAAGCGTAGTCCTCTGTGTGTTGTGCCACTCACGGGGCGCCTGGCGGAGACCGTAGACTGGACGCTGGAGACTCCACTGGGTACTAGAAGGGAACGACCTAGTGAAGCCAGGTGGGCGGCGCAGCCAGATCTCCTCGTGCAGGCTGCCCTGCAAGAAGGCTGTGCTGAAGTCAAGAGAGTGCAGCTCGTAGTCACGGTGAGCAGCAACGTGCAGCAGTACCCGAAGAGTGGTCATCTTCGGGGTGGGAGAGAAGGTCTGAAAGTAGTCAACTCCCTGCCGCTGACTGAAGCCACGAGCCACATAACGTGCCTTGAAGACAGGCGGAGAACCCGGCGGCCGCTTCACCCTGAAGATCCACATGCCACTGACGATGTTCGCCCCAGGCGGGGGAACCTCGGCAACGTAGGTGCCTGTGGACGTCCACGAAGCCATCTCTGTGTCCATAGCTGCCTGCCACTGAGAAGAGTAGGGACCCTCTATCGCCTCCGCGTAAGAGCGCGGAGTCGGGATGTCAAGTGCATCCGGGTCTGCCTCAAGGGTAAGTAGTACGGACACGAGATGAGGTGAAGCAGCAGCCAGACACTGGAACTCCTCCTGCCTGTCCTCAAGGACGTCCGTGCCAAGGGCACACTCACCCCCGTCGGACGGAGGACAGACAGACTCAAACTCAGCGACAAGACTGGCAGCGTAGTCTAGACGACAGCGAGCAGCAAAGTCGACGAGCTCAGCAAGTAGGGCAGACGCAGCAGTGGATTCAAAAGAGGGGTCAGTGACGACAGTAGCAAGGAGACGCGTGACAGTAGGACTGGCAGCACGAAGAGAGTCCGACTCCGGGTCGGCAAGAGCAGGAAGAGAGGACTCAGAGGAGAAGGCAAAGGGGCACGCAGAGGAACAGTGGACGGACGCAGAGACATCCGGTGCGTGCCATGGACAGGAGGCGGACACTGACGCGAACCACGACCACTAGAGCGAGCAGGACGGACAGGCGACGCAGGATGAGACGCAGGCTCACGACGCTCAGCAAGACCTCAAGCAGGACAAGTGTAGGGAGAAGAAGCAGGCAGAGGGGAGGCCGGCTGTAACTGTAACTGTGACGGGACAGGCTATGGACACTCTAAGGGAGGAGGAGGACCAGTAGAAGGCGGAAGACCAAGAACCTGCTGAAGGAGCGGAACGAAGTACGGTCGAGGCCGTGCGGCGACTCCAGATACAGCCGGGACAGGACCACTACCCCCAGCACGAGCACCAGCTCCTGCAGCACCTCCAGCAGCTCCACGACCTCCAGCAACACCAATAGCACCCCCAGCAGGACCGCCAGCAGTAGTCTTAGCGCCAACACCCTCAGCAGTACCAGCTCCAGTCGAACCCGCAGGCCCAGCAGCTCCAGTACTCCCAGTACGAGCACCTCCGGGACCCGCGACACCAGCACCCTCAGTAGCCGAAGAACCTCTAGCTCCAGCAGCACGGCTCCAGCGCCGAGCAAACCACTCGCGCAGCTCCTTTGGAGAGAGTGGCTCCTGCCGAGACGAAGCACCCGGAGAAACTCCAGGCGTAGCACCTCCAAGCTCTCTTGCCCCTGCTGTTGATGCTGACGCCACTGTTCGCTCCCAGTGGGCCACGCGCGATGCTGCTGCACGTCTTGCTGTGCGTCGCCACGTCCCTACCTGTGAGCGTGCCCCCTTTAGTCAGTACAAGAGTGCTCAGACCTTGTACGACGCTGTAGTTGCGCGCTACTCCTCCCCTGCCACTGCTGCACTAAGCCGCCTCATGCTACCGTACCTCTTCCCTGAACTTACTGCTGCCTTTCCCAGACGCTGACCTCATTACGCACCTCCGCACTAGTGACACTCGCTACCCGCGCTGCGCTTCCTGCTGAGTTCTGCGCTAAGAACCCCCCCCCCCCACATGTATATCACCCTCTACATATCACTAGTCACCCGACTCCCTGACTCCCTTCGCATAGTCACGGACCACTCCTCGCAGTGTGCCCCACCACTCTCACCTTTGACCTCCTCGAGAAGGCCCTCCTAGCAGCGGAGAAGAGCATAGTCGTTGTAGGAGCCTCTCGTGGTGACCCCCGCACCCCTATCTTTGAGGGGGGTTCTCCCTCCCCCTCCTGCCCTCTGTTGTTTCTGGTGCTGCGGCCGACCTCGTTGGTTTTGAGTCGGTCGGCGCTGCGTCTGCCCCTTCAGGGAAGCGCCGCGCAGGCAAAGGCAAGAGGGGCAAGGGCAGTGGAGGAGCTGGCAGGGGCAGTGGAGGCGGCGGTGGAGGCGGCGGAGGGAGTGGGGGTGGTGGTGGGAGTGGTGGAGGGGGTGGGGGTACCGGTGGCAGCAATGGAGGCGGAGGCGGAGGCGGTGGTGGCGGAGGGAGCGGAGGCGGCAGTGGTGGCGGAGGTGGCGGCGGTGGCGGAGGCGGCGGAGGTGGCGGAGGTGGCGGTGGAGCTGGTCGCGGCTCTACGCAGAGGAGTGGCTCCGGTGGTGGTCCGCGCCAGCAGCAGCAGCGCGGTCATGAGACTCTGTCCCCTCAGCAGCTCCGCGAGTGGTACACTGCACGCCAGCGGGGTGGGGGTACTAGTCCGTGCACCTACGTTCTGCGCACAGGCGACCGCGCGCGGTGAGCAGTGTGGGGGTGCGCACCCCACCCAGCGCTGCTTTGGCCGCCTGACGGACGCGTGGTGTCACCAGTTCCCTGATTCCATAGAGATCCCTCGCTGGGGCGAGCTGTCTAGGGCGGGTGTTGCCATCTTTGATCTTGACTTTGATGCTATTCTTTCTGCCATGTATGCTGTGACTATTAGTGATGAGGGTGACTGTTACCGGTGTTTCCCGCCCGATCCGGGCATTGAGACTGCTGCTCTAGGTACTGGTGAGGCTGCTGCCCTAGGTGCTTGCGAGGCTGCTACTCTAGGTGCTAGTGCGTCTGCGTCCTCAGGTGCTGATGAGTCTGCTCTCTCAGGTACTGCGTCGGCTTCGGCCTCGCTCACCTTCACCCTTGACTCTAGGGCTTCTCGCTCCTTCTTTCGACACCGCACCACACTCACGCCGCTTGGTCGGCCGGTTGTGGTGTCTCTAGATGACCCCTCTGGGGGTCGTGTCCTTGCTCACTTCTCCACAGTCCTCCCGTGTCCGGAGGCTCCCTCTGGCACCCTGTCTGGTCTTTACCTCCCCTTGTTCTCTACGAACTTGGTGAGTGGTGCTGACCTACAGGATGGGGGAGTGCACCAGTTCACTCCTGCGAGTCAGCGGGTAACACACCGCACTGAGGCTCGGACATGCCAATACGTGGCCACGTTTACACGTCAGCTAGGGTCGAGCCTGTACACACTGACCACTGAGTCTCCCCCGGGTCACTGCGTCTGGTTGGGTAGCTGTGTCGGGTCAGGTGTTTTGCTGCTGCGTCCGGGTCTGGTCCTGAGTCTGCCCCCTATTCGTGTCGTCTCCTGTCTCACGAGAGCTCTCCTTTGGCACCACCGCCTTGGTCACCCCTCTCTGCTTCGTCTCAGAGGCATGGCTCTCGGCCGTTTTCTTTGTCTCTAGTCTTCCCCGGTCCCTCCCTCCCTCAGGGGTGGCCTGGCCCTACCTATGTCCCCTGTGTCAAGGGGCGGCAGCGGGCTGCCCCTCACTCCTCCCAGTTTCCTGCGACCAGAGGCCCCGCTGCAGACGCTTCACATGGACGTGTGGGGCCCAGCCCGCATCCGTGGACAGGGCCACGAGCGCTACTTTCCTACTGGTGGTTGACGAACTACTCTCGTTACACCGCAGTCTTCCCCTTGCGCAGCAGACGGTGATGTCACTGAGGTGCTGATCGACTGGATCCGCGCAGCTCGTCTCCAGCTCAGCAGAGCTTTGGCTCGGACTTTCCTGTTCTGGCGTCTGCACTCTGACAGAGGCGGAGAGTTTTCCTCTGGCCTTCTGAGAGCCTACTGTCGTGCACGAGGCATCCGTCAGACCTTCAATAGCTTTCGGACTCTCCGCAGCAAAATGGGATTGCTGAGCGCCAGCATTGGCATGGTCATGGACGTCCGCCCGTACGTCCATGATGCATGCGGCGCCCCCCATTTTCTGTGGCCGTTTGCAGTGAGGTACGCGGGCGCATCAGATCAACCTTCACCCCCATGTCTCAAGGCCGTAGACCTCCCCAGCTTCTCTGTGGACGGGGAAGGTTGGCGATGCGTCTGCGTTCCGTGTCTGGGGATCTCGGGCGTTTGTCCGCAACTTGTCTACGGACAGCTGTCCCCGTCGTGCTGCTCCTTGCGTCTTCCTAGGGTTCCCCCTGACGCACCCGGGTGGCAGTTCTACCACCCAACCTCGCGCCGTGTTCTGTCCTCTCATGACGTCACGTTTGACGAGTCGGTCCCCTACTACCGCCTCTTCCCCTACCGCACTCCGTCCCTCCCCCCGCCACCGCTCTTCCTTGTAGTGGTCCCCCCCCGGTAGACCCCCTCCTCCCTCAGGGTCCTGCCCCTTTAGGTGTGTCCCAGGTAGACGCTGTCGAGCCTGTCGAGGTTACTGGTGACTCTGGTGCTGCTGAGGGTTGCTGAGCCCTGGGGGTGCTGAGACTGGGGTGCTGGACTGGGGGTTGCTGAGCCTGGGGGTGCAGAGCCTGGGGGTGCTGAGACATGGGGGTGCTGTGCTTGGGGGTGCTCCGCCTGGAAGTGTTGAGCCTGGGGGTACTGTGCCTGGGGGTGCTACGCCTGGGGGTAGTGAGCCTGGGGCTGCTGTGGCCTAGGAGTGCTATGCTTGGGGGTGCTGGGCCTGGGGGTGCTGAGCTTGGAGGTGCTACGCCTGAAGTTCTCCGGGTGCTTCGTCTCGGCGGCGGGGCCGCTGGTTAGGGCGGCGGGCCGCAGTTAAGGGCGGTGGGGCCGCAGGGTGCGGGCGGCGGGGCCGAGGGTAGGTGGCGGGGCCGCAGACGCGGGCGACGGGGCCGCAGGTAGGTGGCGGGGCCGCAGGTAAGGGTGGCGGGGCCAGCAGGTAGGCGCCGAGGCCGCAGGGAAGGGCGGCGTTAGGGCCGCAGGGCGGCGCGAGGCCGTAGGGCGGCGGATCGGGGCCGGGTAGGGGCGGCGCGAGGGCCGCGGAGTGGGCGACGAGGCCGTAGGGCGGCAGGTCGGGTTCAGGAAGGGCGGCGCGAGGGCCGCGAGGTAGGCGACGGGGACGCTAGGGCGTCGCGACAGGGTCGAGACAGGGGAGCGCGACTCGGGCTAGGGTTGAGCGCGCTCCGGGCATGAAATTTTTTTTTTCGAATTGGTGGGCCCTAGGAACAGTTCCCACGAGGGAACCTGCTCGATACCATGATAAAACTGAAACGAGAATGAATGAACTATGAAACAAGTGGGTACAAGTACTAACCCTAATTGGGTTGTAATATGTATAAGCTACAATGTTCTGACCTTTCGTTGTAGCCATTTCAAACGAGTCGAACTATCATAGCGTCCCAAAGCAGAATCGCGCGCAAGCGATTTTGCTTCCTGTACACGGGAAAATTCGCGTCACTTTGCAGGCATGCCAGCACATCCTGACTGGAAGCGCAGGTGTAGAGCAGGAGTTTACACAGATAAGCAAAGCTAGAGCTAATCACAGCGGACAAGTGAGGAGGAGGAGGAGCTGTGGGGGAGAGAAGATGGGAGGCGACTGCTGACGTTGCAGACACACAGACGAGCTGCTGGCTCAGTGGCTACTGGAACAGCGCTCCGGACTATTGGAGTAACTGCCCCGCGGCTAAAAGTAGCGGCAGACGAGCAACGGACCCACGGGCGACTGGCGACTACCCGCAGATTGTAGCCTCCGGACTGCTGCTGCTGCTGACGACAAGACTGCTGCCTCCACTCAACCTCCCCCAACTGCCCCACACTCTCGACACGCCGCCCACTGCTCAAACCCTAGCTCCACTCCCACGCACCCCCTTTAAACCCTAAACCCCAGTCTCCCACTCATCCACCCCCTCAGCGACAGCAGCAGCAGTGGGAGACGAAGGAGGAGGAGGAGCAAAGGGAGGAATGCACAACTGCCACCCCCATACCCGCCACCCCCACACCCCTTACCCCCAAACCCTAATGGAGGGAGGAGTGTGGGAATTAGGAGGGGCGGGTCACGAAGGAAAGGGAAGGCGGAGGGGGGTAACCAGGGCGCCACGAAGAAGCAGGGCGCGGCCCACGAGGGCGGCTCGAACGGCGACGGGAGGGGCCGCGCGCGGGCCCCCAAGGCGCCGCATCGAGGCAACGGTTGGGGCCGGGGCGCGGGCCCCCAAAGCGCCGCGGCGAGGCGACATAAGGGGCCGGCGCGCGGGCCCCCAAAGCGCCGCGACGAGGCGACGAGAGGGGCCGGCTCTCGGGCCCCCAAAGCGTCGCAACGAGGCGACGGGAGGGGGCCTGCGCACGGGCCCCAAAAGCGCCGCGACGAGGCAACGGGAGGGGCCTGCGCGCGGGCCCCCAAGGCGCCGCGACGAAGTGACGGGAGGGGCCGACGCGCGGGCCCCCAGGGCGCCGCGACGAGGAGAAAAACCGCCGCGCGCCTCGGGGCGCACTGCGGGCAGGAAACCGTCGCGCGACCCGACCGCGCGGCGGGATGAAAAATAAGAGGTCGCGCGCCACGGGGCGCGCGACACAACGTAGGGCAACGGAAGCAGTAGTGGGGCCCACAGGCCAGGAGCATGTGTTCTCTGATTCCATGTGAAAGTAAGCGGTAGGATTAGGAGCCATAGCTAGGAGAGTCCTAGCTAGGCAAGAAAACAGTTTAGGCAAAAGAGAGAGGATTTTCACTAGCAGGAATGAGGATACAAATAGCAAACCCTAGAAGGGTTGTACTCGCTATAGAGCACCCCACTACAGGCTAGAGCATAACATTCTGACAGCCGTACCTCCCTCTGTCTGCAGGCCAGAGGCTGGAGGTGGAGAAGGAGTAGTTTTCAGGAGAGCCGTTAGAGGAGCTTCTCTCCTTTTGTGTTGCCATGCCTTTTGTTGTTGTAGGAGTATTAATGAAATTTGATATTGCCTTGTGAGCTCTCACCATGTTGGGCTGAGAAAAGCCCTTAGGATCATTTGCAAGGCTAAGATCCCGAGTAGGAATAATGTAATAGTGGAAGCATATAGTAAACTTGTTGAAACCACTTTGCACTAGTGTGTGAGAGCAAGATGGATTGATTATAGCAAAATAATACAACGGCTTTATAAGATTACAAGGAATATGAAGGGGTGCAACAAATTGTTTTGCTGTTGCGGTTCGATACAGTCACGACTCGGGCAACTGCTCAATATCGAGTCGGTTGTTTCTCATTGCTGTCGCGCTGTATTTGTCGAGTCAAAGGTCCCTGACTTTTGACCTTCGCGTAGCATCCGGCTGTTACTTTTCATTCAACCTCCTCGGCTGACTCGCCATTGCTCCGCTGTAGCTTGCCTCATTTATGGTTCGATGTTACGATACATGGGAACCATTAAATTACTTGTTTCCAACACACCAAACCCTAAGTTCTAGCCAACTTAATTATTCTAGCAGTATTGTTTTTTTTTTTTTTTTTTTTTTTTGAATTGGTGTTAAGCTTGAATCGGATTTCAATATGATAATTTTCATGACATTATAATATATTTTTATATGTGGCAACATGAAATCTAAGAAATCCACTAGACAGCATGAAATCTAGAAATCCAACTATGTTTGACATTGATATATTTGCAGAATTCATTAGTTCACAATTATAGGGTAATCTAAATAGTATTTACCTCGTTATAAGCTGTCATTGCTGGTTTAGACGAATTCGGTGCGAGCAATCAGCCAATTCGCATATTCTCTTCACAATAAATGTCATTGCCTTGCCACAGAGCCTCATCCCAATTTTTTTTTGGGCTTTAAGGAGATCCCCGGAGGAAACCAACCCCCCTTAGGGAGCCTCATCCCGAACCTGCTTGGTGTATCGATGTGAGAGCTTCATCTGCCGTGCAAAGCGCCTTGTCAAACCTGTGAGCGAAATCTGTGAGGAGCTAGCAGATCCACTCATAGTGAAGCAGCCAGGCTAAGAGCGGGTCCGAAGTGAACGTGACATCCGTTGACATCCGATGCCGGTAAATCCTGACGGTTGGAACTCTGCATCCGAGGGTTGACATTTACCGACATCCAGCGACATCCATTCGACGCTTCACTTTCTGACACGCTCTAAGAAGTGCGATGCAGGCGGGGGACGACAGCTCCAGCCAGCTCCCAGGCACCTGGGCGACGATGCGTGGAAGTTTGAGAATGAACACGAAGTAGTTCTTGAGAGGATTTATCTAATTTCTTCTAAGTGTGAGTGAAGACTCAGGGGGCAAAGCGGGATCTCACTGTTTGTCTGTTAGCAAAGTGTGTAATTATTAACACCACGACCCTCTGAATGCGAAGTTGGTGCTAAAGACTCGGCAAAAAAATAGGCATGTGATGATGTGCCACCGAACACCTCCAAAAACCTAATTTTCCCCTTCACCAGCTCTGGGAGGTTCAAGAACGAAAATCGCACGCGGTAGGAATCATGGCCCAAGTCTTTCCGTTGTTCAGACGACTTGCAGGCTCGGGTTGGAGTTCGAGGTTAGGTTCGGAAGTAGGTGAGGAGGAACCTTGTGCGTGTGCCGGCTCGCTGGGTCCTTCCCGCTGGGTCCTTCCGTCTGACAGAACCTCCTCCCAGGCCTCGGGGCGTCAACCTGCCAATTCTCCAAATTTAGACAGGGCAGCAGCACTGTGCTTTGTGAGCCCATTCCAAGCACTGCCGCTCAGTGCTG